AGGCATGATGGATGCCTGCATCTCTCACAGGTGTGGCCACATCCGGACCCAACAAGCCACATGTTTGCAAATCTACAAGGCCTGGCAGGTTCCTGCCTGTTAACATCAGTCTATAGGAGGCAACCTGGCCCTCAGACATGGGGACACACACTCACCTGGAGACTTTGCTGAGTGGGCACTGCTGGCCCCCATGTGATGCTGTCTGCACTTCTCTCTCTCGACCCTGGCCACCGCCAAAGGGGATCAAGCCCCCCAGAGGAGTAGGAACGCACATCCCCTCCGCTTCCCATGGTCAAATTCCCCAACCAATTATGTGACACCTAGTGTGATGAGTCTGTCTCTCTGATTTGTCAATTTATCTATATGATGACTTCTATATTATGAAAACCAAATCACATTTGTTTAAACACTTAGTTAATCATATTGAAAAAAACAAAACTTCATGAGATTGCAATTGTCCTGGAGGATCTGGAACTTGGAGTTCTAGTAATCGTCAAGCGTGAGCAATGGGCTTGCTAGTCAACTGCCTGAAGGTGAACAGAAGGTAGTTTTAGAGCTAAAAAATGAGATGTTAACTCTGGTACTGACTAAGAGAGTTGGGGTTGTTTAAGGACCAGAGTACAAGAGCTAGAATCCACCCACTCCTCTTTTTTTTCTTCACCCCCTCCTCTTTTGTAAGCAATAATTCAGCCTAGTTGTTGAACTGGAAATTAATTTTATACTAATTTGTTCTCAGGTCATTCTTTAATAAGCTTGTATTTCTGGGTATTTAATTTGAAAGCACATTTGATAAGTAATCTATTAAAAAGTAAATCGACACTGAGAATAAATGAGTTTGAAATTTCAGAGGTTGGTCATCAAGACTACTGTCACCATTTGGTTTTTGATTTTTTTAACCAATACTTGGTTTCCTATAGCAATATTTCACAGTTATCTAAAATGGAGCGAATTATTTGATGTACAAGACCCTCAAAGATGGGTAAGTCAAAAACCAGTGGTGCTCGTTCCCCCAGGCAGCCTAACATAACACCAGCTGGGTCCCTTCACTTCCTGAGTCATCTCAGCTCCAACATGTCTTCTGGGTTCCCAGGGCTGAAATTCCCCCACTCTGTGCAGAGGGGACCAGGCTGCTCTGATGCCCTGGGGCATTACAATCCAGTTACACAACCTCCCGATGTTTAGAGAATTGTTATCGTGACTCCCTTAAGTACCCAAAGCTAGAGTTACCTAGAGAGGGGGAACCATGGAGCCTTTCAAAAGTTACTTCCCATGGAAACCGAAGAGGCAGGCTGGCAGCAAGGGTCCCGCATGGCCTGGCTGGATGCCTGGCGGCTGGCCGGGCAGCGTCCCCCAGCACTATCCCTCGTGCCCCCTTCCCTGGGCCACGTGCCCACTGAAGAGGACACCCTCGCCAGAGGAGAAATGGGGCAGTGAGTCTGCCTCCGCGCCTGAATCTCCCAGCCAAGCAGACAAAGCCCCTCCCTGAACTGTCCCCCTCCCCCACTGCCCATGTTTGTGCGTGTGCTTTCCCTCTGTGGGCAATCCCCTCTCCCACCTCTGTCCCTGGCCACCGGGCCACCCCACTCCTCAACGTTGTATGGGGGTCAAAAAGGAGGCCCAGAAAATGTCATTATTTCCAGCTGGTATAGTCAACAACATAAAAAATCCAAGCTATGCTACAAATTGTTAAGTTGATAAGATGGCCCAGCAGGAGTCTCTGATACAAGATCAGCTTTAAAAAATAAAAGAGCTTTCCTTTACATTAAAAATAACCGTGTATAAGATGTAATAGATAAAAAGACCCTATTTATGATATCAACAAGCCTATACAATACCTAGACATAAGCCAAGTGAAAACTTTCCAAAGCCGTTCAAAAAAAAAAAAAAAAAACATCTAAAACTAGGCAGAAGGACATAAAAATGGCCTTTTATTATGTGGAGAGACACCGTGTATATGAATAGAAAAACTTTTCATTTGAAAACTACAAATCCTGACTAAAATGACCTCTACATTCAAATTAGTCAAGCCGAAATCTCAAAGGATTATTGCAGAGCTTAAAATTTGATTCTGAAATTCACCTGAAAGAGAAAATAGGCAATAATACTGTAGAAACTTCTGAAGAAAAAATAGTATCGAAAGAAAACTCACTCTCAACAAGGTTGCCAAGACAGATTGGGGAAAGAATCGTTTTCTAACAAATGGTTCAGGGCACCTGGATATCCACGTGCGGAAGAGTGGAATTGGAGCCCTGCTTTAAGCACATACAAAAATTAATTCAAAGTGAATCAAACATCTAAAAGTAAGAGCTAAACCTATAAAACTCTTAAAACATAGGGGTAAGTCTTTATCACCTTAGGTTAGGTAAGGGTCTCTCAGATATGGCACCTAAAGCATAAGCAACCAAATTAAGAAAACAGAGAGCTTGGACCTCATCAAAATGATCAGCTTTTGTGCTACAGAAGACATCAAGAAAGTGAAAGGACAACCCACAAAATGGGAGAAAATATTTGCGAATCATATCTCTGGTAAGCGTCTAGAATCTAGGGTATATAAAGAACTCTTCCAACTTAACAATAAAAAGACAAAAAAAAAACAATTAAAAAATAGGCAAAGGGTTTGAATAGACATCTCTCCAGAAAAGATGCATAAATGGCCAATAAGCATGTGAAAAGATGTTCAACGTCATACGTTATTAGGAAAATGAAAATCAAAACCACAGTGAGACACTACCTCCCATATACTAGGATGGGTATAATCAACATCATAGACAATAACAGATGTGGGTGAGGGTGTGGACAAATTCATACATTCATCCCATGCACTGAGAATGTAACATGGTTCAGCTGCTTGGGAAAAATTTAGCAGTAGTTCAGAACGTAAACAGAGTCACCATAAGATGCAACAATCCCACTTACAGATACATAACCATATACCTACCCATAGTGTATACCCAAGAGAACCAAAAAAAAAATGTCCACACAAAAACTTGTACATAAACGTTCATGGCAGCATTATTCATAATAGTCTAAAAGTGGAAACAGCCCAAATCCCCAGCAACTGATGAATGGGAAAACAAAATTTGGTTATATCCCTACAATGTCATTTTATTCAGCAAAAAAAAAAGGAACAAAGTACTAATACTTGCTACACCATGAATGAGCCTTGAACACGTTATGCTAAGGAAAGGAAGCCAGACACAAAAGGCCACGTTTTGTATGATTCCACTTAATGTGAAATGAAATGAAATGAGTAGAATAGGCAAATCCATAGAGATGGGAATTAGTTTAGTGGTTGCCAGGGGTGGCTAACGGGAAGTGTCGCTAGTGGGTGTGAGGCTTCCTTTCGGGGTGATGAAAACGTTTTGGAATTAAATGTGATGGCTGCACAGCATTATGAATGTACTAACACCCATACTAGTATGCTTTTAAAAGGTGGATGTTATGGTATGTGAATTTAATCACAATCAAAAAAAGAGAACTTGCTCTGATATCAAAATGTTCCTATAGAATAATAGGAATTAAAAGAGTGTGGTGTTGGCTCAGGAATGGACAGATGGAGGTTTGCCTCAGTGGACCAGCATAGAGAACATGGAGATGGAGCCACAGCCTCATACCTCCGCAAGAATGAATTCCAATTTAGATTAAATAACTAATTCTAAGAACTAATTCTAAGAAATAGAAGAAAATAAGAGAGGACATATGTATAACGTTGAAGAAAGCCATCTTAAGCAATACACAATATGCGTAAATTTGTATAAGAATTGGAAACTCTTGTAATAAATACAATAAAAGATATCGTAAGTCAGTTAAGAAGACATTTCTCACATAATTAATATCCTGAATATATAAAGAACTTCCAGAATCAATAAGAAAAAGTCAAAATAACAAATGTTCTGCAGCACTCCCTTCCTGTAATTGCCTTTTCAGATGATCCCAAAATTTTGTCCTCTGTTCAGTGACAAAGAGATCATCTTGGCCCCTTTTTCATGATATGGGATTTCCCTGGCCACTCAATCCCATCCGGCCCTCTCTCTTAGCAAAGTCAAGGTGGTCTTTGGAATGTTGTCCCTGTCAGGCAGGACAACTGGACACCCTGCCCTGCCCTGCCCTGGAAAAAGTGATTAACTGTGGTCCTGATTGAAGGAGCTGTGTGCTGAGGCTGAAACCCCTGCGTCCACTTCTCCTGTCCCTTAGAAGACGCAGCCCTTTGCCTCGGGACTGCACCGCGCTGGCATTCAGAGGCCTTGAATGAGGAGCACTAAGTGCACTTAGCGTTTCTTGCCAGCCGGCCACCTAACTGGGGCTGCAACATAACATTTGTTCAACAATAAAATTAACCTTGATGCCGGACAGATATCTATCTTCACTAAGGACGTGTCCGTGCCGTGGTTTCTTTTTGCAAGTGACATTATTAAAGAAATGGAATATTGCAGGCATGTCACCCAAGGACTTTGGTCTTAGAAGACCTTCCTATTTTTCTCTCCTGCTAAGAGAGTCTTTCTGCTCTCAATTGGGCAGTTCATCGAGGTACCCACTATCTCTCCTCACCCCCTTCCTCTCATAGCCTTTTCTGTTTTCATAAGCCATAGATTTGGCCTCATTTTATTGCTTTTCACAGTGTGCTTAAATACCCCACACGGTTCCTCATCTCATTACAAAAGACAATTTGTAATGCGGAAAATGGCAATGTGACTTGTTCAGCTGCTGGAGTTTGTAAAACCTTCCGCATCAGGGCTTTCCTGAAGGGTGTCAGAGAGACGAGAATGGAACCGGGATGCAATTAGAAACCCTGTTGATAATCTCTAAGTAAATCAGATATTCCTGCCATAGATCCTGGCTGGGTCACGTGGGGCTGGCATGAAACATTAAGACCGCTGGCTGGTTCAATATTTTATGCAAAAGGAAATTCTGTAGCTGAAAACAAGATGATTGGAGGCCACTGGTTTATTGTGAGTGGGCAAGAAGACAGCATGACTGAACCGACTTTCTCCTCCTTTCAGGGTCACTGTTACTACCATGGACACGTGCAGGGCTATTCTGGTTCCACGGTCAGTCTCAGCACTTGTTCTGGTCTCAGGTAAGTGACCTTGACAGTGGCAGCTCTGGCCTTAAGCACAGCTACCGCAGACCACCCCCTTCTCCAATCGCTCTAAAGCGCCAGAGTGACGGACCTTGCCCCTGCCTGGCAGAACCGAGGAGCCCTTGCCCGGCAACGCGGAGGGCACCACACCCCCCCACACACACACTCCCATCTCAGCTCGCCTTTCTTCGCCGCTCCTCTTTCGAGGCCGTCCTCAGGCCTGGTAGGTTGGCTGGGTTTCAGCAGCCAAGGATTTGGGGAATATCTTTTGTTTTTGTGGCTCGATGCCAAACAACTCCCAGTGTTAAAAAAAATAGGACATTAGGTATTAGCATTTCAGCTGCTTGCTTAATAAAAATGAAAAGGGCCGCTTCTCACTAGGACACAAAGTGAGGGGCTGACTGAGCACAGATCCAGTTGAGCTGAGCACGGGCCTGGGTGGCAGGGGCCCCTGCCGGACGCAGGAAACAATCCCTTCTGCTGCCGAGAACAAGCCAGCCCTGCCTTCCAGTCGCAGCAACCGGCCCCGGGGGGCTGTGTGGGCTCCCCAGGAAGACCAGTCTGTTGACAGATTCCCAGCTGCCTCAGCCTCTTGACTGGGTTTATCTATCTAGTTTGTGAACTAGCAGCTTGTGTCCTCAAAGTCCTGCTTTGCTTTGGCCGCTGCCACCAGAGCGCGGGTCTGCGGAGGGAAGGACGGAGGGCCCGGGACAGCAGCGGCCCAGGGAACACGGGACTGTGCACCGTGGGTCTGCGAGTACTGCATGCCATGGCAGAGAAGGAACCTCGGTGCACACCCCGCACACACAACATACACACCACAGACACACACAATATACCACACACACCACATTCACACCACAGACACATACATAATATACCACACACACCACAAACATACAGACACACACACAATATACCACACACACCACACACACAGCATACACACCACAGACACACACAATATACCACACACACAACATACACACCACAGACATACACAATATACCACACACACCACATACACACCACAGACACATATGTAATATACCACACACACCACACACACACAATATACCACACACACCACACACACCACAGACACACACACAATACACCACACACACCACACACACACAACATACACACCACACACACAACATACCACACACACAACACACATAACATACACACCACACACACACAATGTACTACACACACACAACATACACACCACACACACAATATACCACACACACAACATGCACACCACAAACACATACACAATATACCACACACACCACATACACACCACACAATATACTACACACATACACACCTTAGCACATACGTACCACACACTATATACCACACACCACAACACACACAGTACAAGCAACACAGATACCCTGTAACACACACAATTTATCGCACATGACATACCACACATATCAACACAACACACACACAACATGCCACATACAACATACCCTAGGCACACAATGCACCTTGGACAACTCAGCACACTTAATACACTACACACGACGGGAGCGAAGTGGAGATCAGGGGCCCTGGTCGGGGTTTAGCGGCTGTGGATGGAGACAGACGCCCCGCGCAAGGGAGCGGAAGCGGTGCTCTTGGCAACCTCGCCTCCTGTGAGTCCTGCCGCGCTGTGAGCACTTACAGGTACTCCTGAATTAATGAGCAATCGCGTTGGTGGCTCTTACGGACAGACAGTACAGCCACTAGTGGACGGAATTCTCCAGAATAACAGCACCTGAGTCTGGCCGCGGCCTGGTGAGCACGCGCAGCCCTGGGCCTGGCTGGCGGCTGGACCGGCCCGAGGGAGGGTGCAGCCGGGCCTCCGGCCACACGTCCCCGTGCCCGTCCTTTCCTGGGGCGTCCCTGCCCCACGTGCACACCACACACACAACCCCCCGCCGACCCCCAACACGTGTCCCCGCCGGCCGCTGCCGTTCTTCGTGGCGTAGGCCACCTGCGCACCTTACATGTATGTGAAGGAGGGCAGCGCCGCGCGCCCTGCGGTCGGTGTCCGCGCTCAGCATCGTTTGGGCATCGTCCTTCCCGGCGCGTGAGGGGCGGCCTCTTCCCTCACCACGCACAGCCTTCCGTTCCACAGACACCCGCGTTTCCTCTCCTTGTTTTCTCCACCACGTGCATTTAGGTGGTTTCCAGTCTCTCTCAGCTGCCAACGACCGGCCCCGCAGGCCTCGGGCTCCGTGACCCGGGCGCGGCTCGGATGGAGGCGCCCGAAGGAGGGAAGGGTGTGACCTGCCCAGTCCTGCCGCCGTGTCCTGCCAGCGTGCCCGCCCGGTTTCCACTCTGACCATCAGAGGACGGGGGTTCTGTTTGCTCATGTCTCCCCCAGTCCTTGAGATACCAGATTCATTTTTAAGTATTTACCATTGGAATCTAACAGTCTGTTCAGAACTGGCTCCCCTGCCCCTTCGTCCGCTCCAGTCCCACACAGGGAAACCACAGCAGCAAACGTGGGCTCGGGTGAGGATGTGACGGGAACATTCAGGAACGCGTCAGGGGGAAGGCAGTTCGAGGGGGACCATGAGTCCCCAGGGCACAGTGGGAAGGTTTGAGGGGCAGAGGGAGGAGGGTGGGATCAGTTAGAGGACTGAAGGGCTGTGTGGGGCTAAGGGCCCAGCTCTCCTGGAAAACCAGGGCACGGGCACCTGGAGGGCACAGAGATGAAGGACAGGGTGGGGTCAGCCCCATTGGCATCTGGGTCAAGGTGAGTGACCAATTGGAGGTAGGCCCTCTGGGATCGTCAGAGAGACGTCCATGCCCCGGAGCACAATAGCCCAAGCAGTGACCAGTCACTGAGCCTCTCTGAGCGCCAGTTGCCTTGTATTTAAAATGGAGATAAAGACTCTAGCTGAGACTGGTGGTTGTGAAAATTAGTACAATGACCCATAGGAAAGCCCAGCCCTGTGCCTGACCTTGAGTGAGCAGCCAATGGAAAAAACCATCAGCCACTTGAGACAGTCTTACATTCTTTGATTCTGGGACTGGGCCAGTCAGGGAGGCGTGAACATGCCGTGCTTCTGGGTGAATTCCATGCAGAGCTACACTGCTCCTACGAGAGCCGGGTGGAGCACACAGGACCACACACACCTGAGAATTACAGTCACCCCTCTCCTGTATGGTGTCCAATACACCTGAAAGTAGAGAGTCTCTAACACATACATGGGAAGTCGGCACTTTACTGTCACACCTCTCGGGAACCTAAAAGATGGACCTGTTTTGAAGGCTAGATATTTCCAACCTTCGAATTAACATAGAGGTCACTGTGTGCAAAGAACATAAAAGCTAATTCAAACTGCCTTAAAGGCCAAGCATAGAGGTAGATTCATGCCATCAAAAAGTCCAGAGACGGCTTCTGGTGTGACTGGTTCCAGGACCTAACTGATGTTATCAGAACCCATTCTGTCTCCATCTTTGGCCTCTACCTTCTTCTGTGTTGATTTCATTCTCAGGCACTGTTTATTTTTGCGGTGACAGAGGGTCTTCAGGCAGCTCCAGACTTACATCCTCAGAGGGCAAGTAGAAGAATGAGGACCCTTCTTTGAAGCTCAGCAAAAGTCCTCAAAATGCAACTTATTGTCCCTCACTGTGTCATGGGCCCCTCCCTGAAACAATCAGGCTCTAGGCATGCAGGCTTCAGTAGTTGTGGCACGTGGACTCAGTAGTTGTGGCTCACAGGCTCAGTTGCTCCACGGCATGTGGGATCTTCCCAGACCAGGGCTTGAACCTGTGTCCCCTGCATTGGCAGGCGGACTCCCAACCACTGCGCCACCAGGTGGGTGGAATGCTCTAATTTAACAGGTTATGTGCCCAACCCCTAGGCCAGGCTGAGTGTGAACCACACCCAGCCTCAGGGGCTGGTGCGGGCTGGGGAGAAGGGTGGGTACATGAAGGAAAACCAGAAAAAGGACAGATGAGGGCCAGGGACACACAGAAACTACGGGCCAGCTCCAACAACAGCTTCCACATGTTTGTGAAAACTCTAAGCTAGCGAAACTGAGACCAGCCGTAAATGGAGACGTCCGGGTTGGTCTGATAACTTTCAGGTGGTTTTCATAGGGCATCAAACCCTTGATGGATAAAGAGATGAGGGTATCTTCAAGGGAATTCCTAATAGCTCCTTTTTACACTAAATAAAACAATCAGCAAACCAGTGACATTAACTAATTAGTTTTAAATTATGAAGATGAACGACTGGGTAGAGTATTCCTGAGTAACATTTAAACAGGACAGATCTGCCCCCTGTACTTGGCCTTGCCACTTGCTCTCTACTCCCTGTCCTTCACCCCAGGCCTGTCCCCCAAAGGCACAGGTAACTGGCAGGGTCCCCGGTTTCTCCCTCACAGAGGGGTCCATCTCTCTGACCAGATTCTGCAGAGCGTCTGAGTCTCAGGACCACCTCCTGTCTCCGGCACCTGGAGAATGTCCACCCGCCCCACCCCGGGTACCTGGCACAGAGCACAACTTGGCAAAGAGGAATACTGTGAAATACTTATGGCTGGGGTTCCAGGAAGAGTCAGGGGAGTGAGTGCTGCGTCGCCTGGTGTCGACCACCAAGACGGGGTGGGAACACTGATGGAGCAAAGCTGCTGCGTGGGGATGGAGCTCCTGAGAATTTTAATTTCCCTTTGTGCTGTTGTTACAAAAGCAGCAGACCGTGCATCAACAGAGAAATTCCGGAGTTATGTAGTCAACTTTATGATCTTGCGAGGAGAGAATCAGACCAGAGACAAAGCTGTGTTCGATCAACGGCTTCCTGGCAGAAGAATCAATCGAGAGGGGAAATAAAAATGCAACTAGAGTAGCACCAGCCTGGTAAATTTGAGAAAGAATAGAGGATTAAAAGTTATGTGAAATATGGTGTGACCCCAAAATACATTCAGAGCTAGGAATGTGGAGGAAAACTCGAGTGTCCTAGGGGATGCATTAATTAGAGCCCA